TCACAATAATACTAGTATTTTTCGTTCATTATTGTTTTAAGTTAATTTTAAAAATTATTTTTAACTTTTTAGTTCGATGTGCTTTAAAAGCGTGTTTTTTAGTTTTTTTAAACTATATTTATTTGTTTGTTCAGTCATTATTAAAAAATATAAGAAAAAATAATAATTATAATTAAACACACTTAATAATAATTAAAAACACTTAATAATAATTAAACAATTAATAATAATTAAATAAGTATACAGTCTAACATAAACAATTGTAAGATTGTCCATAACATAACATCGTGTCTACTACAGAGTTGTTGGTCGTTTGTGGCCGATCCCTTTAAATAAAAGATAAAGACATACGTCACATGGGTTTTTGGATTTTCCAGGTATTGATAGGCAATTACAGTGTCGTATGACAAAATATTTTGTTTTTTAATATATTTCTAAAATTAAATTTCCAAGCAATCGTTTATCATAATTATGATAAACGATTGCTATTAATACATAGTGTAATATTTCGGAGGAACGTAGTATGTATGTTACATTCGTACCAAATTTGTACTAAGTCAAAATGATATCACATGGACATTTCCTTTGTACTTAATTTGTATTAACCTAAAAAAACAACCATATAACAGCTTATTGATGTTTCAAAGTGATGTTACGTATGAAACACTAAAAAAATGTTCCCCCGACGTACTGAAACATTAATTGTACAGTGGGTATAATAATAAAAGTTGATATATTTACAAACAAAAGTTATTAATAAATATATTAATAACAAAAATATAATTGAAAACTATTTTGATTTTAAAACGAGAAAAAGTTATAACTGTTTTTCTGGTATTGTAATAATTTACTAAAAATGTTATTATTAAAAAAATCAATCGTGTTATAAACGAATTAGGATACCCAAAATTTCACTAGGTATTAACTGAGGCTACCGGGTAGCTCGGCGGGAAAGCTCTCGTCGTGACGGTGAGGTAAATCGTGTTCAAATCCCAACCGCCGGAAAAATTTTGTTTCAGTTTGCAACAATTTTTTTTAATATTTTTTTTAACGCAGCGTTTGAAAATAATTTATTTAAAAATTATTTTGAGTAATAAATTAAAAACTACCGAGAAAAACATGCATATAGTGAAATAATTTTTGGTTTTTTTCCAAAAAATTAAGTGATTTTTTTACTTTAAACGCTTAAATTTCAGTATTATAGAAAAATCACGATAACATTTTTTTTTAGTCGCGTATTTTTAAATGAATTTTATATCGTTCGATTTTGTCGTATTCTCGATATTTAGAGAAATATTATCAAAAAATGAAAAAAAACTTATTTTAATAGTATATTTTAATTTTTACGCTTAGCGGTCAATCGTACGTAAATATATGTAAGAACCTTTTATTTTGCTAAAAATCGATTCTATAGTTATTTCCGTCATCTTAAGGAGTTGACCTAGGATAATCAAATTTTAAGAAAAATTTGTATTTACTACATAGATTAAAATGAACCCCACATTTTAATCTAAAATGTGGGGTTCTCCCATTCGATTTATAAAAGTTGGTCAAATAAGGACCACCCTAATGTATATATATATATATTTCGAAATATAAAAATTTAGATATATTCATATCGATATCGTCTATTTGAGTTAAAAAAAAAAAAAATTATCACTACGACGTCCATGAGAATACTCGAAACGCAAACGAAAAAGAACGTTTGCTTTTACGCGAATCGATATTTTGCCGGTGTCGCGTATAAAAATATATCCAAGTGTTATCGTGGCCGCGACAACGTTTATTTTTATTATATAAAATACAATAAATAAAATACGACGAGCTCGACACGACTGTAAAAAAAATAATAACGCATTGTTTACGAAAATGTTTATACGTGTTCATTTTTAAACGGTTAACACATATTTATTTTTTTCAATAAAAAACAAATTTTTATATCAATTGATCTTTTATTAAATATACGTTGTTCTAGAAAATATCTAAACACAAATAAACATATTAAACATATATATTAAATATATGTTCATATATATATAACGTTTACTAAACAAGAAATTAACGAGTATTTTTACACTAGTACTGTTTCCTTGCGGTTTTAAACGAATATATGTTAACCCTTAAGAGGACGCGCAGTACAGAGTATGAAAAACGGTTTTAAACATGTTTTGCGCGGGACTACTTTATTTGATCTGTATCGATGCTAGAGTCGCAAATTTTTTACCAAATTATAGACGAGAAAATTATCTGTGATCTAGCGTTTTTATTTTTATGTTAACATAATTTCTAGTACTTTATATTTACTATTAAACATTCCTATTTTTTTTTGGTTTTTTAAATGTTTAATAAATAGCTTCATAGTCGTGTTATCAAAATTATAAAAACGCTAGATCACAGATAATTTTCTCCTTTATAATTTGGTAAAAAATTTGCGACTCTAACATCGATACAGATCAAATAAAGTAGTCCCGCGCAAAACAGTTTTTATGCAAAATAATGAATTTTTTGTGTATCGACAAGTGTCGGTCCCTAGTGGCATTTATAACGTGACGAATTTTTTGTTGAATGACGGTAACCGATTACCCCCACCCTTCAACTGCTACCTTGCCATCGATCAATACCAGGTATTTTTATACTTTGTTATCGATGAACCGGGGTACCATTTAGCAGTCGCTAATCTGAATTTGTAAAGTAATTGTTATTATCGACGGGTGATGAGACTTAAATTTACCGTGTTGATTTTTACACGTAAATAATAATGCAAATATAATAAAAATATCTATTGATCGGAAATCTGTCAGAAATTTACGTGGAGTTTTATTATGTAACATTAGAAAACATTCTCGTTACGAATATGAGTCCACAGTATACATTATATTCGTGGGCAGCAGGACGGATCAACCGTCTTTTTAGTAGTAGTAGTAGTAGTAGTAGTAGTAGTAGTAGTCTTTTTAGTAATTTAAAATTAGATATTCTTTCTCCAAAAATGAATTATTTGCCAAGAAAAATAAAGGTCATCATTAAAAATGTCGAGTATTAAATTAAAGTTTAGAATACATACAATACTCCTTACGTAATACGTTTATTTTATGTATGTAATAAGTGAGCGTACGCACTAAGTTTACTCGCAACATTATAGCGAGTATAAACTTAAATTAAATTTTATATGAGCATTTTGGTATTCAAATTTTTCAATCTAAAATAAAATCTGCTATTGTGTGTGTGTATTTTTTTCATTCCGAGATAAACATTTTTTGCACATACCGGATTTTTCCCTACGCCTAGCTTAATTTAAGGTTAGTTAAATTAATGATTTTTAAATAATGATTTAAATAAAGAAATAATGATTTTTTCAAAATTTCAATTTCAACGAAAC